TAATCCAATAGAGCATTTGTGGTCCTACTTGGAAAACCAAATTCGTGCTGCCACGCTACCCCCTCGCAATGTGAGGGAATTGCAGGACCAGTTGGCGAGCGCTTGGTACCAGATACCTCAGACTACATATCAGCACCTTGTGGAATCAACGCCACGGTGGGTGCTAGCAGTTTTGAGGGCTAAAGGTGGTCCTACATGTTATTAGCAGGGTGGTCATGATGTAATGGCTCTTCGGTGTAGATTATTCATCTTATATTTAAAATGTAATTAGAATGAAATAAAATAAACTATCTTTTCTTTGATATACCTTTTTTTGTTTCTGGCAAAATTATAAACCACTAAAATCTGTGGTGCTTTCATTTGAATTGAAATAATCAATATAATATTTTACCAAGATAGAAAAGATATAAGTTAAATTGAATCGACCAAACTGAATTCTTTATTTTTATTAAATTGACTAAATTTTAAGCAATATATTTTCTAAACATTTCTATAGTTTGACTTTACCACGTGTTCTGGTTTGATCTTGGTTAGTGCCGTTATATTCTTGCTGTTTGGTATAGTAGCTATGATCTTTCCGGGAAAGGTAAGTTTTTCTTCTTTTGCGAAAATAAAATTTTTAAAATGAATCAATCATGAATTATATGAAATATTCATTTTTGGTTTTAATTTAATATAAATCATGTCTACACAAACTGATGTGCAGGATATAATTTTAAATGTATGTAATTGATAAGAAAAATTCACTTTGTTTCGATTTTTATTCTAATTATTCAAACTGTTCAGGCAAGCAGATTGCAAGACTAGAATGCGTGAAACTTTTGAGTCTATTTTCATGTACAAGGTCTAAATCTTAACCCCTGTACATATCATTAAATTTCTTGATATAGAAATGATCTTTGACTGCACTGTAAACAACAACTCGCAACGGAATGTTGACAGAGATGCCAAATGCTCCGGACACGACAAAATAATTTAAAGAAACGGTAAATAACTACAAACTAAATTTTGCAAATATTTGACTATTTTTGCTTGCTTTTTAAAAGGTATAGTATAAAATAACTACTATAAAGTGGTGGACTATATATACCTACGAATTATTTTTAGAAATAGTGGTGGATAAAAAATCTACTAAATTGAATTTATTAAACCAAGAATCACAATTGATAAACTACCACTTTAAAACATTTATTTGCTGTCTGGAGGAAGTTGGCATCTCTGTGAAGACGTCTGAGACAAGTCAATTAAAGAAACAAAACATGACGTCTTCGTTTGTCAAGGGGTAAACGGTTCTAGGGTCTAACCTTAAATATTCTAAATAGTTAGTCAAAGCAGTGAAAAAGCCTGCACATTTTAAGTGCAAAAAACCGTTATCAATATATATATTATACATGTTTCACATTTAACATAATTTCTTGAATTAACATCTATAATTAAATTACCCACTAATGCAGAATAACATACCTTTAGAGTAAATTATATAAGAAAGAACTTACCTCTTACAAGCATTGCGATATTGGATTTTAAAAACAAAAAAAATATATTAATGCGATATTGAATTTTTAATTAGCGTAAATACGAATAACTTTGCATAATTTTTAGATCGCGTAAATACGAATCGCAATGCGTTGTTTTTAAAGCATGAGTAAATGCAAAAATCTATGTTTGGATGTAACGCGTGAACACGAGTTGCGATATTGGATTTTTGAATCACGTGAATAAGAATTGTGATATGCGATTTTTAAATCCCTTGAATACGAACGATCCGCAACGCATAGCTTTTAAATCAGGCACGGAGATTTCCGTATCCTGATCTGTGGCAGAATAATCGCCAAGTCTTGGTAACATCCGGGCAGTCGCCTACGAGAAACTAAGAAAACATCACAGAAAGGGGCAAACTCGAAAGGTATAACTCGTAGCCACCCCTGGGAAAACATCTACACATTTTTTTTAAAAAAATTAGCAAGTTTAAAATCTATTTGGCGATTGTAGTTGGTGCAACAGATCGGAAATATCCCCAATCAGGCAAATATGAAAATCCATGTTTGATATTAAAATCGCGTGAATAAGAGCCACGATATGCGATATCAGTAGATTCCAAACATTCAAAATGGCTAAAAACCGCCAAACCAAAAGAATAAAACTGGCGGAAGAATCACGCAAGACATAATTAGCGGAAGAATGTATGTAAACATCTTGTTACGGGATTTAGCAAAAGCTTCAAAATTTTGTCAGATTATAATTTTTTGGTACGTGGAGGTCCACGAACCAACGGTCTTGAGATATGCAGAATCCCACGATATTCGCTGCTCCGCTTCTAGTTTTTAGACCAGGAGGAATGATACGAAAAACCCGGAATTCCGGGATACCCCAGGAATACAATCACTCCTGTATTGAAATATGGAATAAATTTCATTTTTTAAAAACTATTTTAAGGAATTTGTGATTGTAAAAAAAAAAAAAAAAAAATTCTGTTAATGTCAATAACATTGAGATATAATTTTTTTTCCAGATTATGCAGCTGGTGTATGCATCATTTGGAGCTATTATTTTTTCCTTTGTACGTAAAGAAAAAATCACCTTCATTTGTACTTTTATTTTACATTCCTAAATACACTATTTGTGAAATACTATATTAAAAAGAAATCTATCTTTAGAGTAATTTCCCTACAAGTTATGTGCAACGTATATTTAATTTTTTAGCAATTGAAAAAGTCAATTTTATTTTAAGTAATGATTCAGTAACTGATATACTATTGTTAGTTTTTTTTTGGTTGTACATAACTATCATCAATAAGACTAGCGAAATAACTTTGCTGCATAGTTATTGCCACACACTAAAGAAATGTCACTGAAGATTATGGCTTTTAATAATTAGGAGATAGACCTAGAGACACTGTGCACTCAAAATTAATGCAAAACATATTTAAAAATCTGCTGTCATCCAAGAAAGGTTTTGCGAAATAGTTTTTTTTTTTTTTTTTAAATTTATTAACTCTAAAATTACAGAAATGAAATTTTTTAAAGTCTAAAAGACCTTTCGTTTTTATATATATATATGTAACATACCCTCCAATAACTGCGGAAATTCCGAATTTTTCGAAAATATTTTTTCTAGTGGTAGCAAAAGTAATAAATTACTTGACAGAATTTTGTTCCCCACAACATGAAGATAATTTAAATACATTTATAAAAGGTCAGAGTAACTTATTCTGGGTTGCCACTCAAATCTGGAGAAAAAAAATTTCCCGTACATGAACATGTTATACGCAATATATTAAGAGGAAACAATTACTGGCTCTTGTGTGAGCTATATTGGGCTAACTATATTTATCAGTTTCAATTGCTGGAAAAACAGCTGAACATACTTAAATAATACTATGGTAAATGAAATATGGTTAAATATTCCATAGATTACGCTTTGACCCATACAGCACATTGACTTCGTTATGACATCCTAAAGTTGTCATCTTTAGGATTCTGTGATTTCCAGAGGAAGTCCTATATTTACCGCTAAATGTCCTACGGATGTCATCTGCGTGTTAGAATGTCCCACCTACAGATATCTTAATGATGTCATAACTAGGA